ACACAATCCTTCACTTCCCCGCCTGTCAGAACAGAGCTCTGCCTTGTTTACAAAGGCAGAGCTCTTTTCTTTTTCCCGCCCGAACACGATCGACGGGTGCTGGGAAACATCCGTTCACCGAGACTCACAGATCGACTTCTGCCTGCTCGCCCCCTTCCCTTCATGGCGGAAGTGCAAAATCGTGTATATGTGTGTATGTATATATATATATGTGTGTGTGTGTGTGTGTGTATGTATGTATGTATGTATGTATGTATGTATGTATGTATATATATATATATATATATATATATATATATATATATATATATATATATATATATATACAGTGGGGATCGAAAGTTTGGGCACCCCAGCTAAAAATTTGTATTAATGTGCATAAAGAAGCCAAGGAAAGATGGAAAAATCTCCAAAAGGCATCAAATTACAGATTAGACATTCTTATAATATGTCAACAAAAGTTAGATTTTATTTCCATCATTTACACTTTCAAAATAACAGAAAACAAAAGTTTGGGCACCCTGCAGAGTTAATATCTTGTACTGCCCCCTTTGGCAAGTATCACAGCTTGTAAACGCTTTTTGTAGCCAGCCAAGAGTCTTTCAATTCTTGTTTGAGGTATCTTTGCCCATTCTTCCTTACAAAAGTCTTCCAGTTCTTTGAGATTTCTGGGCTGTCTGTCACGCACTGCTCTTTTAAGGTCTATCCATAGATTTTCAATTATGTTGAGGTCAGGAGATTGTGAAGGCCATGGCAAAAACCTTCAGTTTACGCCTCTTGATGTAATCCCCCGTGGATTTCGAGGTGTGTTTAGGATCATTATCCATTTGTAGAAGCCATCCTCTCTTTAACTTCAGCTTTTTCACAGATGGCATCAAGTTACCATCCAAAATTTGCTGAAATTTTATTGAATCCATTATTCCTTCTACTCGTGAGATGTTCCCTGTGCCACTGGCTGCAATACAACCCCAAAGCATGATTGATCCAACCCCATGCTTAACAGTTGGACAGAGGTTCTTTTCATTCAATTCTGTGCCCCTTCTTCTCCAAACGTACCTTTGCTCATTCCGGCCAAAAAGTTCAATTTTAACCTCATCGGTCCACAGAACTTGTTTCCAAAATGCATCAGGCTTGTCTATATGTTCATTTGCAAAGTTCAAACGATGATTTTTTTGGTGAGGACGTAGAAGAGGTTTTCTTCTGATGACTCTTCCATGAAGACCATATTTGTACAAGTATCTCTTTATAGTGGGAATAGTGTACCACAACTCCAGTGTCTGCCAGATCTTTCTGGAGGGATCGTGCAGTCAAACATGGGTTTTGAATTGTTTTTCTCACAATCCTGCGAGTTGTTCTGTCTGATATTTTTCTTGGTCTTCCAGATCTTGCTTTAACTTCCACTGTTCCTGATGACTGCCATTTCTTAATTACAATCCGAACAGAGGATATTGACATCTGAAAACGCTTTGCTATCTTCTTATAGCCTTCTCCAGCTTTGTGAGCGTCAACTATTTTCAGTTTCAGTTTTCTAGAAAACTGCTTAGAAGAACCCATGGTGCTGATTGTTGGGGCAAGGTCAGATGAGTCTGGGCATTTAAAACCTTTGAGATTGACATCACCTGGTCTTCCCAGATGATGATTGAGAACAATCCATGACACTGGCAGGTCTCAGCTTTGCAAAGGGGGCAGTGCATGCTATAAATTCTGCAGGGTGCCCAAACTTTTGCAGACGCCATTTTTTGGTTTTCTGTTATTTTGAAAGTGTGATGGAAATCTAACTTTTGTTGACATATTATAAGAATGTCTAATCTGTAATTTGATGCCTTTTGGAGATTTTTCCATCTTTCCTTGGCTTCTTTATGCACATTAATACAAATTTTTAGCTGGGGTGCCAAAACTTTCGATCCCCACTGTATGTATGTGTGTATATATATATATATATTAGTTGTGTTCAAAATAATAGTCAGACATCACTAACCTGATCACTGTTTTTGGTAGAAATGATATTTCTACATGGCAAATTATTTCCTAGCAGGTGTAGTAGAGTAATAGAAATCCAACAGACCCAACAGTCATGACATGCATGCTGCTGATTCTGTGTCATTGAATCACTCATTGAAAGGGGCATGTTCAAAATAATAGCAGTGTGGAGTTCTATTAGTGAGGTCATTCATTCTTTGAAAAACAGGTGGCAATTATTGCCCTTATTTAAGGAAGGAAGGCAGCAAATGTTGTACATGCTGGTTACAGTGCATTTCTCTCTGAAATTCTGAGGAAAATGGGTCGTTCCCTACATTGTTCAGAAGAACAGCGTACCTTGATTAAAAAGTTGATTGGAGAGGGGAAAACATATAAAGAAGTACAGAAAATGATCGGCTGCTCAGCTAAAATGATTGCAAATGCTTTAAAATGGCAACCAAAACCTGAAAGACGTGGAAGAAAGCGAAAAACTACCATTGGAATGGATAGAAGAATAGCCAAAATGGCACGGACTCAGCCAACAGTCAGCTCCAGGAAGATGAAAGAAGGTGTGACGTTCCCTGTGAGGACTGTTACAATTAGAAGACGCCTATGTGAAGCCAAGCTATCTGCAAGAAGTCCCCGCAAAGTCCCACTGTTGGAAAAAAGACGTGCTGAAGAGGTTACAATTTACCAAAGAGCACATTGACTGGCCTAAAGAGAAATGGCGCAACATTTTGTAGACTGATGAAAGTAAGATTGTTCTTTTTGGGTCTAGTGGCCGGAGACAGTTTGTCAGACGACCCCCAAACACTGAATTCAAGCCACAGTACACTGTGAAGACAGTGAAGCATGGTGGTGCAAGCATCATGATATGGAGATGTTTCTCATACTACGGTGTTGGGCCTATTTATCTCATACCAGGGATCATGGATCAGTTTGAATACATCACAATACTTGAAGAGGTCATGCTGCCTTATGCTGAAGAGGAAATGCCCTTGAAATGGGTGTTCCAACAAGACAACGACCCCAAACACACCAGTAAACGTGCAACATCTTGGTTCCAGACCAACAAGATTGACGTTATGGAGTGGCCAGCCCAATCCCCGGATCTTAATCCAATAGAAAACTTGTGGGGTGACATCAAAAATGCCGTTTCTGAGGGAAAACCAAGAAATAAAGAAGAACTGTGGAATGTGGTCCAATCATCCTGGGCTGGAATACCTGATCACAGGGGCCAGAAGTTGGGTGACTCCATGCAACACAGATGTACAGCAGTTCTCAGAAACAGTGCGACTACAACCAAATATTCATGAAGTCATTCAAAGGAAAGCAAAATCTTCAAACATTTTTCAGTTTATATAGTGAATGTTTGAGTTTGTAAAGAAGAATACAAACACTGCTATTTTTTGAACCGTCTAATATTCACTTTTCTTCAATTTTTTTAGAGGAACAACACGAATTTGATATATTTTTCTTCATGTTTTGATCTGGAATAGAATGTGTCGTGTTCCCAATGCATTTGTGTGTATGGAAATAAAAGCTATTAGAAGGATTTTCAGCTTTATTCACTTTTTTCAACACACTGCTATTATTTTGAACACAACTGTGTGTGTGTATGTTTGTGTGTATATATGTGTATATATGTGTGTGTGTGTATGTGATTTTGCACAGGAGGGCCGCCCCATAGCAGTAGTGTCTTCAAGTGGTTATTTGGGATTTTGGTTCAGTCCACAGGAAGTCATAATCACATTGGGGTTTTGGCAACTGGAACATTTTCTGTACTACAAATTCAGCCACATCTGAGGACTGGTAAGCTGTAATATATTGCAGGTTTGTTCTTGGGTTCAAGCTTTGATATGGTTTTAGTTCGCTGACAGGTACACTTTGACGGGCAGCACAGTGGCTAATTGGTTAGCATTTCCACCTGGCAGTGCTAGGGTCGTTGGTTCGAATCCCAACCACGGCACCACCTGCCTGGAGTTTGCATGTTCTCCCTGTGCCTGTGTGGGTTTCCTCCGGGTACTCCGGTTGCTCTCCCACACATCAAAGACATGCTGGTAGGTTAATTGGATCCTGTCTAAATTGTCCCTAGTATGTGTATGTATGAATGTGACTTAGGGACCTTAGATTGTACGCCCCTTGAGGGTTAGGGACTGATGTGAATGTACAATATATATGTAAAGTGCTGCGTAAATTGACGGCGCTATACAAGTACCTGAAATAAATAAATATACATTGCATGTTGTATTACGTGGTCCTTTACATTGTTTTTCCGGCCCATAGTGACTTTGTTTAGTCTTTCCGCCCCACCTGCTTCCCTCGGAGGAAACGCTGGGATTCCATTGTATTCTCTGGAGTATAGAGAGTATTTAAAGTGGTGAGGTCATAACACGAGTGACATCTGTGCCGCGTTGTCCTGTTGGAACCTGTTGTGTTATAGTGAGGAGACAAATCGAACGCGTTCATGACGGGTATCACAAATCCGATCGTTCTGCTGAAGACTTAAAGCCCAACTCCGGGCAAATAAAGACTTTTCCCTTGCAGTGGGGCTGTGCCTGCACTGCAAGGGTTAATTGCTTGTCTATATCTAGGGGAACAATGAAAGGAAATATACTTGCCTGATTCTCCGCTCCTCCCTGCAGCGTCTGCACCCCACCGTTCTAGGGTCCTGACATCAAGACCATGGTAGGGTCCATAGCCCCGCACTGGATGTGAGGACACTGAGGGACAGTTCATCACTGGATCTCGAGGAGCACCTCTTGCTAGGGGAGCAGGTGATCAGGTAAGGTAAACAGTTTCCCCTCCCTCATGGACAAGACGCGTTATTAACCCTTGCAGCTTACGCCAAACTCCACTGCACGTGATCATTATTTTATTCTGCCTGGAGTTACGCTTTAAAGCTGAACTCCGGCAAAAGTAAAACTCCTCCCTTGCAATGGGGCGGCTTCCATACCGTGCAAGGGTTATCTGCACGTTTATGTGTAGCGGACCCTGCATTCACTATATCTGGGCTCCCCGGACCCTGCATTCACTATATCTGGTCTCCCCGGACCCTGCATTCCCTATATTCGGTCTCCCCGGACCCTGCATTCCCTATATTCGGTCTCCCCGGACCCTGCATTCCCTATATTCGGTCTCCCCGGACCCTGCATTCACTATATCTGGTCTCCCAGGACCCTGCATTCACTATATCTGGTCTCCCGGACCCTGCATTCACTATATCCGGTCTCCCCGGACCCTGCATTCACTATATCTGGTCTCCCAGGACCCCGCATTCACTATATCTGGTCTCCCCGGACCCTGCATTCACTATATCTGCTCTTCCCAGACCCTGTATTCACTGTATCCAGTCTCCCCGGACCCTGCATTCACTGTATCCGGTCTCCCAGGACCCTGCATTCACTGTATCCGGTCTCCCAGGACCCTGCATTCACTGTATCTGGTCTCCCAGGACCCTGCATTCACTGTATCCGGTCTCCCAGGACCCTGCATTCACTGTATCCAGTCTCCCCGACCCTGCATTCACTGTATCCGGTCTCCCAGGACCCTGCATTCACTATATATCTGGTCTCCCAGGACCCTGCATTCACTATATCTGGTCTCCCAGGACCCTGCATTCACTGTATCCGGTCTCCCAGGACCCTGCATTCACTGTATCCGGTCTCCCAGGACCCTGCATTCACTGTATCTGGTCTCCCCAGACCCGGCATTCACTGTATCTGGTCTCCCACAGAACATGGAAATGCAGTTATCTTGGTAAATATAAACTGCTAAATTCCTTTTCTCATCAGCGGTATATAGCAGTCTTGTGACTTCTATCAGTGTCGAGCTGAGCACTGGTTAACGGTTATAAGAGGAGTTTTCTTTCTGCGCTAGGAGGATGCAGGACCTCTGACCTATGTCTGGACAGTGCTGATTGGCCCTGTGCTGATCACATGCATCCTCCCAAGAAAACAAAAACTCCGCTAGTAATACACACCAAAACTGAGTATATGCATGGCTACGGGTCAGTCTGAAGATGATAGGTGGTCACTTGAAAAAGGGGAGGAACAGAGAAGACAGGATCAAGCACCCTTTTTTCACAATGCGGGTGATTAACCCCTTAGGTTCCACAGGAACCTTAGGTGAGTATAACAAGCATGCTTTACTGCATATACAGACTGATTTTACTGTTTGGGGTTTAGTAACAGGCTAAAAGGGAGCAAACAAGGGGGGGGGTGTTCATTATTGGGGTTTACATACACTGTAAGCTGAGCTCTAGTGGCTTCAGTACATTGAGTCCTGAGAAGGACTTTCCTGATCTGAATTCCTGTTCTCAGTCATTGATTCACACAGTTCTGAAACCAGTGGGATTTTTTTTTTGTTTTCGTTTTTTTTGGATCAACTGGATGGACTTTTTTTCAGCCAGACTATGTAACTAGTATTTTCAGAATATCCGCTATGGAAGCTGCATTGTTTTTCTCTCAATACAAGTTTATATAAAAAAAAAATATATATATTATGTGTGTATATGTTTGTGTGTGTATGTGTGTGTATGTATGTGTATATATATATGTGTATGTATATATATATATGTGTGTGTGTGTATGTGTGTGTGTGTGTGTATATATATATATATATATATATATATATATATATATATATATATATATATAAATAAAAAATTATTCAAAATGTAGACTTGTTGCTGTGGGACATATCTTGGTTTCTGCAGTCCTCATGCTGTGCCCCACAACTAAGTATTCTCTCTCTCTATGTCTGACTAGTTCTGTAATGTTCAGCAGTACAGCGAGTCAGCAGTAGGTGGCAGCAGAAGCCTATGGAGAATGGCAGGCGGCAGGGGGAGTCACTGACTTTGCTGCAGTTGTGATGGGAAATGTTCTGTATTGTCTCTTCTCCCTCCGGCTGGGATCTGCAGTGATGGCGTCTCTTCCAGACTGAATTTCAGTTAAGCGCCCCCTGACCATTAATCCCCGCTAACACTTGCCCAATGAGTGACGAGGACTGCCATTCTTTTTTATGGTGCCGGGTCATAACCGTGTGCTATGCGTTTGGAGCAGTATACAGATGGGGGGGGGGGTTGTTGTTTTTTTTTTATAATTGCTTTTTTGTCTTGCATTTCAGGCCCCATAGACTGCAGTGTCATTACACGGAAAATGCATATAACATGCATTTTTGTGTGCTTTTAGTGCATGGCAACAAGCCGCCACCTCTTGCCAACCTCTACTTGATCCACTTGAGCTCTGGAAGGTTTTACTCCCTTCACAATCAGGCCATTTTTGCTTTTAGCACTGCGCTACTTTAACTGGCAATTGTGCGGTCATGCAACACTGTACGCAAACAAAATTTCTGTAATCGTTTTACACAAATAGAGCTTTCTTTTGGTGGTATTTGATCATCACTGGGGTTTTTATTTTTTGCACTATAAATGAAAGAAGAGTGAAATTTTTTTGGGGGGGAAAAACATTTTTTACTTTCTGCTATAAAACCTAAAAAAAAAAAAAGTAAAGTGTTACTAAACTCAACAGTACAATCAGTCTGTATATGCAGTAAAGCATGCTTGTTATACTCACTGTGGAACCTAAGGGGTTAATCCTCTGCATTGTGTAAAAAATCCTGTTTAATCCTCCCCTTCTTCTCCTCCTCCTACTGCCCCCCAATCCATCTTCTGATAGTAGAGAGCTCTAGGAGTCGCTCTGCACATGCTCAGTTTGGTGTGTCTTGCTAGTGCATTTTTTTTTTTCTTTGGGAGGGTGCATGTGATAATCACAGGGCCAATCAGACATGAGGGCCAGGGGTTATGCAGCATCATGGGATAGTCAGAGCAGAATGAAAAGTGAAGTTTCCAATTTCCCGTATTGCGAGGTTCAGTATAAAAGGTTATGGCGGTATACACAGTTCCAGGAAAAGATGGTCTGATAAGCATAAGCGCTTTTGACATGGTCAGCTGACTGAAAGAGACAAAAGGACATTGCGCAGGATTGTGACCCAGAATAAAGAAAAATGCTGCAATAGTGACTGCACAGCTCAATCTCAGTCCCGTGAAGCCTGAGATTGAGCTCTGCAATCAGTTTTGCAAAAAACAAAAAAGTTACACAAAAGCACATAAAACAGACGGTCAGGGGTCCTGCAGCCTCACTGGACTATCAAGGGATAATGAAAACTCCTCCTACAAGCTTTAACCAGTGCTCTCCAAAGTCGCCCTCCTCCAAAGTCGCCCTCCAAATTGCGCAATTTTGAAGTTGCACAAGTGTGGAGCCACAGTGAATGTAGGGTCCTGGGTTTAGTAACACTTAATTCAGGGGTCTCCAAACTTTCTGAGCAAAGGGCCACTTTACTGTCCTTCAGGCTTGACCCCAGGTTCACACCTAAGCGTTTTCTGTCCATTCAACATGATTTCCTATGGGACATATTCACACCAGTGCTTTTTTTTGCAAAGGGTCAGCGACTTTTTTTGAATGCAAAAAGTTGCGTTTTTGTTTCTATAGACTTTAATGGAAACGCTACAGAAAAGCATGTATGGTGTTTTTGCCGTATTTGTTATGCGTTTTAAATCTGCCTAGCAACAAGAAAAATGGGGGGGAAAATGCGGTTAAAACGCAAGTGCAAAAACTTTTTTTGAATGCAAAAATTTGCGTTTGTTTCTATAGACTTCGATCGAAACACTGCAGAAAAGCATGTATTGCATTTTTGCCGCTTTTTTTCTATGCGTTTTGCATTTTTTTAAATCTGCCTAACAAGAAAAATGAAGAGAAAAAATGTGGTTAAAATGCAAGTGTAAAAGCCTGCAAAATGCAATGCAGAAACGGCTCAAACGGTGTGTAGGTGTGAACCTAGTCTTAGGGGGGCCGGACTGTGGGCAGTGGGAGTAGAAAACACCCTGGCATCAGTCGCCCATATTGATTTTAATGGGGGGGGGGGAGAAATGATGGCTCATTGGTACCGGTAGGAGGAATAGCGCCCCATTGATTGTGTCAGTAGTGGGCGTGGTGCCCCATCATTGGTGTCAGTCGGCGGAATATTGCCCAAAGGGCCAGATAAAGACGAGCAAAGGGCCACAGTTTGGAGACTGCTTTTATTGATCAATATTGGAATATAGGTAAAATCCGCAATCCGTTTGGTCAACCTTGACCCCCCCCCTTGCGGCGGATCCGCGTCCTAGATGGCAGTAAAATGTCTGTAATGCAGGAATATGAGAGGAGGATGGCCGCAGTCACTTAATCCTGATTTCAGAGAAGCCGCATTGATTTCTGCGTCCTCTCAGTACAGAGGATTACATCATGGTGGCGCTGACAAACGAAGGGCGCTGCGCTTCTTCTGCAGGCATTGTATTACATGGAAATGTATCCAGACTGTCCATCTAATGAATCTCCTGTGTTTTGATATGATGCTATAGAGGCACTCAGGCGGAGCAGATCTGGAGCGGCCCCGCGTCTCCCCCCTCCTTTCCGGTTTCCTGTGTTAATTGGCTCTGTGTAATGTTCTGTCTCTGGGAACAACCTTCAAGAAAAGCAAAGTGACAGCAGCGTTCACCATGACTGGGAGTTGTATGCAAATCTCGACCTTTCCTTTTAGAAGTCGACCCTGGCCCCTCCTACTTCGCCGACTTGTTTTGAATCACTTGCCATCCACATAACACGTGCGGCGACGGGGAGGGTGGGCTTTACCTCCCACGTGCCACGTATATGCGCCCATGGGGCGGCAGAGATTTCCTGGCTGAATATGCGCAATCCCAGGCAGCTCCTGCTCTCTAGTAATGATTGGAAGGTGGTGGGATTGGCTCCACATCATGTGACAGCCAATCACCGTGGTCAGGCAGACCTTCCCACTCCCCCCCCCAAGGTGTAATAGCCCAGTTAAAAAGGATGCTTGAGGCTGGGTGGGAAAGGGTTAAAGTGACACTAATAGATATCCTCACGCTATAAAACTCCACCCACATCCACTGCTTAATGGCCCTGTCATCTATTGTTAATAGATTTTATTGTGTTTTTCCACCATGTCTTCTGTGAGCTCCTAAACCTCTCATTTTCCCCCTCACTCCTATTTGTTTGGAACAAGCACATTGGTTGCGGTCACGTGCACTGCGCTATGAACAGTACTAGTTCCATAGTCCACTCCCAGAGTAAGCAAGAGAAGGTGGCTACATTTCTACATCTAGCCAGACCATGGAGAGCCAACATAGCTACCCTGGAACAGACTTTTTTTTTTTTTTTTTTCTGAAAACCAGAACAAAAAATAAAACCCTTGCAGGCCCCCCTCCCCCTTCCCTCTGCACTAGAAGGGTTAAGTGCTTGGTATGTTTAGGGGATTCCAGAATAAGGAGAGGTACTTGCCTCATTCCGACCCGATCCTGAGCCAAACCTGACCCGAGTCTGATCCTGAGCCAAACCTGACCCGAACCTGATCCTGAGCCAAACCTGACCCGAGCCTGATCCTGAGCCGATCCTGAGCCAAACCTGACCTGATCCTGAGCCAAACCTGACCCGAGCCTGATCCTGAGCCAAACCTGACCCGAGCCTGATCCTGAGCCAAACCTGACCCGAGCCTGATCCTGAGCCAAACCTGACCCGAGCCTGATCCTGAGCCAAACCTGACCCGAGCCTGATCCTGAGCCAAACCTGACCCGAGCCTGATCCTGAGCCAAACCTGACCCGAGCCTGATCCTGAGCCAAACCTGACCCGAGCCTGATCCTGAGCCAAACCTGACCCGAGCCTGATCCTGAGCCAAACCTGACCCGAGCCTGATCCTGAGCCAAACCTGACCCGAGCCTGATCCTGAGCCAAACCTGACCCGAGCCTGATCCTGAGCCAAACCTGACCCGAGCCCGATCCTGAGCCAAACCTGACCCGAGCCCGATCCTGAGCCAAACCTGACCCGAGCCCGATCCTGAGCCGATCCTGACCCGAGCCCGATCCTGAGCCAAACCTGACTCGAGCCTGATCCTGAGCCAAACCTGACTCGAGCCTGATCCTGAGCCAAACCTGACTCGAGCCTG